TCTTTATTTTATAAGATTGTTCCGTGGATTTGTATTGGGACTAAGCTGTAATGCATAGTCATTGTTGTCGCTTACTCCATATCACCTCGTTGGCAGTGCTGTATCATGGCTGTTGACTGGCTATGTGAAGGACCACTTGGGTGGACGCAGCACCCGGATGGAGAGAAAATATAAATGTGAGCACTTCCATGTGGAAAGGACTTTTTTTTGTCTTTGTTCTACTTTTCCCTGGCATTCGGAGCTGTCATCAGACCGAAGGACGACTTTCAAAGCGGAGAAAGGAAAAGTGATCAGAAAAAGGAAGGAAGGAAAGAAGAACCTATCGAGAGGTAATCCAGTTCCATCGAGCAGTAGAAGTAATCCTCAGGAAGGGGAACTAGTGAATAAGTCTAAGATCACCTGGTTCATTAGCAAGATAGTTATTACAGGAATTTTTTTGAAGCCTCTATACGACTGGACAGGTTAAGAACCATGTGTGCCTAACAAAGGAATCATATTTCGTAATGAGGTGTAACATGAAATACGGCTACTGTTCGGATCAACTTGTAAATAACTGTATAGTTCTTTCCCTTATTTTTGTCATGCATTAGTTTTATCATTGTGAGTAAGGTCCATTGTAAATCAAATTAGTTGTGTCATTCCTATATTCGATAAGAATATAGTTTGTATAATTGAATCAAGTAATCAAGGTATTCTTTTGTTACTTTTAAAATTAATAAACTAAGAAGGAAGAATTGTCTGTCTGAATTGTTCTGCTTCATTGTAAAGTCCTCGAAGCAAATCCCCATCTTTATAACGAGATATACTCCGGTATATCCTTTGAATAATACAAACTTCTGATGAAAAGCAAAAGTCATGTTATTTCAATTCAAAACTTTTCCCCTGAAAGCAGTTAATAGATGACTGGCACGACTCTAATGTGTTACAGGAAAAAAATACAATGTGCAAGAGCAAACCATTACTAACTTGAGGTGGAGAGCATATATTTTAAATTAAATAAATTAAAACTTGCAGCTTAGCATTGTGACAATGTCATAGTAAATAATTGCCCGTTATGTATAAAGCTGTTTCTTGCATAAAATTTATGATTAACAGATATAAATAGTATTTTCTGGTTTATTGTTAAGATATTTTGACAAAGGCAAGACTGGGATATTTTACTAATTACACCCCAATAAAACTACAACATTTAAAAAAGAAGCTTGTGTTAGCAACAAGCATTCAAAGTTACATCTGTCTATTTTGTTACATTGCAATAGCACAGGAGCAAACACTAAAACCTTTAGTGATTGGAAATACAATTATCTATGATGCTTTAAAAATGTTTCAAGCTTGCTATGTTATTATGTCCACAATCAGAAAACATGGATGAGAAAAGAAATATTTTCTGAATGACTCACCAATTTAAGCATTTTTATTTTGGTTGACAACTGTACTGTGTATATAATAAATGTTTGTCTCGGCAACATTACTGTGAAATCTTTGCCACCAAACTGTACTTCCCAAACCAGCCTAAGAATCAAGGAATTAGAAAATTTCAGTTTATTTTATGGGGGGAAAACTACTCTAGTGCACCTCAGGCTAGGAATAAATGAACCAGTCAACATCTGGCAAGCTAATGAAATGATAGCTGGTGCACGGTGGGATGTAAAATAGGATTCTGTTTGCCATTACTAGGGTGAATCACTGAAAAATCACCAGTAATAATAGTAAGTGGTGATGAAATAAAATATGTGGAGGAAAGCAAAAATGGACTTTGGTAAAAAACCTGTAATGCATTAAATGTGACTGACAAATCCTTTGATGATTATGTGGACAGTTATAATGATGTAATCACAGCACCAGAATCATCGTTTCAGGAAACTGTTGATTCTGTTTGAAGTACAAGTCAAGATAGGAAGAAAAAACAAACTGTGGGAAGACGAGCCAGTCACATTGAAGAAAGCACTGGAAAAATCTCAACAAATTAAAATTTGTGTATTCAGTGTAAAAGAGACATTAATGTCTATGTCAGACTAGATGAGATTGAGAAGTTTCTGCAACATGCAGCACTTAACACATGTACAACTCAAACAAAACTACAAATTTTGTACTATTAGAATTTAAACTTTGTTTTCAGTTTTTTAAATCTATAATTTGGTTGTATTTTTGTGTGTTTTTTTAAATGTGTAATACTTCAATAAATGATTCATGAACAAGTTTATTCATCTTTGTTTCATATGTGGACTTCATATTTAGCTATTCAACTTATTTGATGATAATTTATAAACATTTTTGATTACAACAAACTTTCAATTTAACAAATATTTTTGGTATCACCTCAAGTTTGTTGTAATGAGATTCCACCATACATAACTTCTAACCGGGACTAGGAAATTGGCATTTCTTTTTGCTGAATTTAGCTCTACAGCCACTATTTTCAGCTTGCCAACTCTGACACCAGCTCATTAGTATCTATATATTAATATATAATTGAGACAAGTTGATAATAATAATAATAAGCACAGAGCCTAAATGGTTAGGAGTTGAAAGTTGAAATTTGGTACACAGTTAGGGTAAGTCACAAGAATGCACACTAAGAAGGGATTTTTCAAAATTCCCCCCATGGGGGAGAAGGACATGATTAAGGTTTCAACAATGGAAGTGTTAAGAGAAAGCGACGTGCAAGATTTACAGAGGCAGATGCGTTTTTGCAGGAAATCAAACATATTTTTAGACCCATCTAAAAATTCTCTAATTAGTCTGGAAACAGGGAGACCTAATTCTTGCATTCTGTGAAAATGTGTAAGATTGGCTGTAATGTAATAATCTTAATCTCCACTATCATTACTTTTTGTCCGAGCAACACCAGTCTTAATATATACAAGGTCTGTTCAAAAAGTATCGGACCTTATTTTTTTCCGCGTAAACCAATGATGCGAGAGAGGCCTCCTTCGGTGGAGTTGTGGAGGGGACAGTCAGGCACAGCCCTGAATTTTTTCCCGCCTGCAGAAAGCGTCAGTCGTTGGCAATCGGCGTAGTGCGCTCTCGTCGGATTTCACTAAGCTGGAAAATGACTGAACAACGTGAGCAGTGATATTACATCAAAGTTTGCCAAAAACCTTGGCGATACCCGAGTGTAAACCATTCGCAAGATTCAGCAGGCTTTCGGGGACGATCCTCGAGGCCAAAAAAAGCGCGGCAGGTCTGCAGCAATATCAAAGGTCATGTTGACAGTTTTTTCGACTCTAGTGGGGTGGTGTGTCGTGAGTACGCACCACAAGGCCAAACCATCGCAAAGGAGTACTACCAGGAGGTCCTTCGTCGTCTTTCCGATACAGTGCGATGCAAACGATGGGATCTGTGGTCGATCAAAACTTGGCAGCTCCATCGTGATAACGCATCCGCCCATTCTGCGCATCTGATTCGGGCTTTCGTCGCCAAACACAATACTCCTGTGGTTCGTCACGCTCCGTACTCTCTCCACATGGCTCCGTGTGACCTTTGGCTATTTCTCAAGCTGAAAATGCCGCTAAAAGGAACCCAAATTTAGTCGAGAGAAGACATCATGCGAAATGCGACGGACCGGCTGATAACCATTCCAAAAGATGCGTTCCAGCAGTGTTTCCAGCAATGGCAGGAATGCTGGGAGAAGTATATACATTACCAAGGAGACTACTTTGAAGGGGATTAGGGGATCAGCAAAAATAAATTTATTGACTTTGAGGTACAAAACGTACCTCAAAGTCAATAAATTTATTTTTGCCGACCAAAGGTCCGATACTTTTTGAACAGACCTTGTATATATATATAATTCACCATTTCATCACAGACATTTAATTCATTACACTAATTTAATAATTAGTAATGCACCAGTGGTCTAATGATAATTAGAGAATTGTAGCTACAGTTTTTTTACTTTATTCAAAAGACGGAAAAGTACAAAAATTTACAATGTGCCATATATACAGAAATAACCCCAAGTTTCAAAGTTTTAGGTTTATCCAATCCCAAGACATAATGCAAAACAGACACAGACAATTTGTAAGGGGAAATTACTTTTACATTCTGGGATTATGGAGTACCAAAAATCAAAAAATCTAAAAAACTGGGTGAGTCAAAATTTGACCGACCACTGTACTTTCCCTACATTATTCTATAACAACGAATAAAGTTAAAATAATTATGAAATATCGAGTCAGCTAAGGAATTAGAGTAGGCAAATCTTTTGTCAACATCCACTCAACTGTTTTAACTCGAATTGCCAAGTCCCCAGCCACATTTATTACTAGACACAAAAGGATTTCACAGATACACTACGGCAGTGGCTGCCAAAGTATGGTCTACAAGCATGCACCAGATAGTCTGCAGACTGACCTGATCATTTTACTAAAATTCAAACCTTTGCACTTTAGCCAGACGAAACCACACTTTCATGCATCACATATCTCTTATGTTAGTTTGCCGAACAGCTGAAATATTACGACACACATCTAAGATATATTTACGGGATAAGAAATGAACAGGGCAAGGGTGGTTTGGCTGTTCATCCACAACTCGTTTGAAGGGTCCTGCAGATCAAGTAACTTTTGAGAATCGCTGCTCTACAGCACATTAAACATTCCCTTCATCACGATATTCCTCTTCTTTACATAAATACAATTACCTCATGATGATATCAAAAATAAATCAAAGGTAAACATCAAATCAGCTGACATCCTCATAACTCATTTGGCAAATAATATATTCATTATAATCACATGACTTGAAACTCAATTTATTCATGCCTAATTCTTAAAAGGCGAAATATAATTTATTAAAAATAAAAGAAAGGATCACCAGAAATCACGTGACTTGAATGGACTTTCACTTTCATTCTGTAACTGGATTTTAAATAACTAATTTAAACAAAAAAATAATAATAAATACAAATGTAATTTAAGAGAAAAGTGTGAAATAAATTTCCGATCAAAATTCTCCAAATATTTCCTTAAATGTAACAATCAACGCAGAAAAATTACCTTTTAATTTAAAAGCAGAATTTCATCGTATCAGATTCAAATAACATCCCTCCATTATAAATAAGTTGCGCCACCTGTCAAAAAATTCCATTTTGTGTTTAATGAAAGGAAAGGGGGAGAAATGTTTTATAACTCGTAACGTCTAAAAATACAAACACTTTTAACTATTTAAATTCCAAAAATAATAAAAGTAAAAATTCAATTTATATAGAGTAAAATCTGTCTATGGCGACCACCCACTGTTCCTTCAAAAAAATGGTCTTTTAGACAGGTGATCGTCCAATACAGGTGGTGCTGTAATACTGTATTTCCGTACATATTTTGCGCATTTTTTAGCCATTTCTACTAAGAAAAACTCGAGGTGAGCAAATATAAGCGAATTTTTTCAACGATAGGGCTATATTAGTATTGTATTTTATTCTTATCGGATAACTCAATTTACGGAAGTCGTCGTGATTTTATAAGACAGATTTAATAGCAATATTTTAAAGATTAATACAATAGTCGCATTTTTTCGATTATAATGCACACTTTCTTTTTTCCGGCTTAATTAATTCATCTCGGTTGTTTTCGTTCGCTCCTCAGTTACGTGCATTACGTCATCGATATAGAAGCGCGTTGTATTTCTACATCACTTTGGTTTTGGTATTCGCTAGTGTAATCTTATTTTAACTTTAAAAATACTGTATTTTATAATATTTAATATTTTCTTAAGTACAATAAGACAAATTATTAAATAATAATAAAACGATTTTATTATTTTTCTCATTGTACGATTTCATTACAATCGCGGAATCGAAAAAGGAAGTAAAACTGATTTTTGCATTAATGCGTTTACTGTTTTTTTGAATATTTTGCCTGCGAAAATTACTTGGATATTATTTTTCTAAAAATATCGTGGAAATAAGGTAGGTTGATACAGAAACTATTTATCGCACATGTACTGCATATGAGCTTCAAAATAAATAAATAAAAATAGATTTTATCAAACGATTAGATCAGCCGATTAATTGTATCGTGTACAATATTTTATACCCCCAAGGAAAATACTGTAGGTCTAGGGTAAAATAAATTTTGTTTTCCCACAGTTAAACTTCGCCGCTAATTGCTGTTGTGATAACTTTAATACGACAGCACTTTGCATTTCGGACATTTTCCAACAAACTGAAATGAATTTCCTTTGTTGCTAGACTAATTTATTAACACCCGCACCTTATTTCAAGGGTGGGAGAAGTGCCCGGGATGGGTTCGAACGAGAGTTTAGACTTATTCATTATATTAGGAGGTGGAAACGTTGTTGAGATGGGTTCTTACAATAGATTAGACCAGATACATTCGCGAAAGTGGTCGCTTATTACAGGTGTTGTATGTTGTTTCGGACCGAAAATCGATGCCCGCGGTCGCGTTACACAAGTGATCGTTTAATTAATACAGGTAATTTATACGAAGACTCTATGGATAAACTATTCCGTGCCAGAAATTTTCGCCCGTTTTGACAGGTGCCCGTCGAATGCAGGTGGTCGCCTAAACAGTTTTTACTGTATTAAATTTAATTCTCTCAGTTATTTATTAATTAATATATTAAAAATTATGTATGCCTGTTTGTCAGAGTCGGTAGATTAATCTACCGACTCTGCTGTTTGTCAATATCAATTGAAACTGTTGCCATAGAAACAGGATACTAATGAGAAAAAATGCACAGTTTACAAAAAAATTGTGTTACCGAGTATTTACTTATCGTGATAATAGAGATTGTTATTTTCATTTGTAACCGCCATCTGAAAAAAGTAATAAAAAATAATAAATTTTACATATAATAAAAGCGTTTATTTTATTTTGTGCGAGGAAATATACGATTTTAAACCGTTATTTGTGTTAAAAGCAGGGCTGTGGAGTCGCGTAAAAATCTAACGACTCCGACTCCGACTCTTCCTTACCATCCGACTCCGACCACGGGCGGACTTGTTACCGAAAGAGACCCGGAAATTCTGATGTCATCACGTGACCTTCAATTAAAGATTCAATAAATATAGAGTTCTAATAAAAATAGAACGTAGAAGCTTTTTATTCCAAAGCTAAAAGACTCCTCTAAGTAATATATAAATATGTATTCGATAATTGTTACTTTTCTTTCTGAAAGTGTAGCGCTCAGTCAAAAAATGATCCCTCCCAAATTTTTACATTTTTGGACTCAGGACACCTTGAAATTTCGACATATGCAAAAGATTTGAGGGGTTTTTTGCACATGTGTGGATGTTAGACTGTGTGTGTGGAGCATGATTTTGTTCACCCTGTTTGAAGTCTAATAATTTCTGTGGTCAGAGTGATCAGAATCGGAATCAGATGGTTTAACACAGGAGTTAGTTATTAAGCGTCAAAGTGGTTGAACTAAATCATGTCTCCATATACGTTGTAACATCTTAGGCGAGAACATCTTAACGGGTTTTACTGTACTATTATAAAATAGCAAGAAAGCTTACTTTGAGAGTAGAGACGAGTTTTATTTTATTTTATTTTTTTAAATTTTGAACGCTAATAACGAGTAAAATACACATGACCACTTTTATGTCTTCACCCTGTCGATCTTTAATTAAGAACCAAAATTTAATAGTATTAATACCCCTTTATACGCAAGCTACAGTGCCACATTTCGTTTCTTACACTTTACCCATTCTGAGATATTGTTTAATATCGCAAAACAGAAAATAAACAAATTAGACGCCAACACACGCGCGCGAATTTTTCTCCTTCATTGACTTTTTTGAGGGGTTCGGGAGGTCTCCAAACGTGTAGATTTGCAAAAAAAAAAAAAAAAAACTTGGAGGGTCAAATTTAACACAATTCCAATACTTTTCCGTTTTATATACATAACAAGTTGGTAAGTAAAAAGGANAAAAAAAAAAAAAAAAAAAAAAAAAAAAAAAAAAAAAAAAAAAAAAAAAAAAAAAAAAAAAAAAAAAAAAAAAAAAAAAAAAAAAAAAAAAAAAAAAAAAAAAAAAAAAAAAAAAAAAAAAAAAAAAAAAAAAAAAAAAAAAAAAAAAAAAAAAAAAAAAAAAAAAAAAAAAAAAAAAAAAAAAAAAAAAAAGTTGGCGGGTCAAATTTGACTTGATTCCAATACTTTCCGTTTTATATACATAACAAGTTGGGAAGTAAAAAGGAGTCGGAGTCGGAGTCAGCGGATTTTTTGACGACTCCGACTCAGACTCCGGCTAAAACACCAAAACTCCACGACTCCGACTCCACAGCCCTGGTTAAAAGATAAAAATATATCTTTTAAATATTAATTTAAATGGCGGCCGATGACCGAAATGGTATACCACGCGTTTGCCGATTCTAAAGACCCGGGTTTGAATTCCTGTGGAATCCGCAAATCTCCATGCGTGGTGTGATTAGGATGTGTCGAAACCTGGTCATTGCTATCCGGCTACCTCGTTGAGAGCTTGGTTGATCCATGGTAGTAGGACCGGTCGAATGGCCGACGCGGTTAAAGAGTGTTGAGATTTGAAAACCTTAATTCCAGTTACAGCCGAAAATAGTGCTTTAGTTAAAGAACTACAATATTTAAATAAAGAGATATAAAGAATCGAGCATTTATCTTTCCATAAATGTGAACAAAGTAAAAAGATAAAAGATATATAATTATATTTAAAATATAGTATTTTCTTATTCTTTAGATAACTTTCAGAGTCATTTCATAAAATTTAATCCTTCTTAATCTTTCCATAATATTTTTATCAACAGTCACTTCGACTTTTTTATTTTTACAGCATAATATCGTATTATACACACAAGCGTCCATTTTGCTTTACACGTGTAGCGGACGTAAAAGCTGCTTTATCTTCGCTGCAGCGACCTCTTGCAGCAAACGTTTAGAAACGGTTCGCTACATTGCAGCGCTGCATTTAGAAACGGGTTTCAGAGGGTTCGCTGTAAAGCGCTTCTCGAGCGCTGCATAAAGAAACGCGGCCAT